AATGTATGTAATGTATGTAATGTATGTAATGTATGTAATGCATGTAATGTATGTAATGTATGTAATGTATGTATGTATGTATGTACGTACGTATGTATGTATGTTTGTATGTATGTATATAATGTATGTAATGTATGTAATGTATGTACTGTATGCATTGTATGTCATGTATGTAATGTATGTAATGCATGTAATGGCTGTAATGCATGCATGCATGCATGCATTTATGTATGTATGTATGTATGCATGTATGTATGTATGTATGTATGTAATGTATGTAATGTATGTAATGTATGTAATGTATGTATGTATGTAATGTATGTAATGTATGTAATGTATGTAATGTATGTAATGTATGTAATGTAGGTAATGTATGTAATGTATGTAATGTATGTAATGTATGTAATGTATGTAATGTATGTAATGTATGTAATGTATGTAATGTATGTAATGCATGTAATGTATGTATGTATGTATGGATGGATGGATGGGTGTATGTATGGATGGATGGATGTATGTATGTAATTAGTGTATGCATGTATGTAATGTATGTATGTAATTGGTATTAATGCATGTAATTAATTTTAATGTATGTAATTAATATTAATGTATTTATGTATGTATGTACGTATGTAAGTACGTATGTATGTATGTATGGATGGATGGATGGATGGATGTATGTATGTATGTATGTAATTAGTGTATGCATGTATGTAATGTATGTATGTAATTGGTATTAATGTATGTAATTAATATTAATGTATGTAATTAATATTAATGTATTTATGTATGTATGTATGTATGCACGTATGTATACGTATACCAATTCTTTCAATGGCAGTATAGTAATGATCAACTATTAACTTATACATACTGGTAGGTTCCGTCCCGGGGATTTGATGCTGTGGATTCAGCAGATCACTTGCGCAGGTCAGTGATGTTTGGACGAGACAACCCTGCAATTGTAGCCTTGAACATGCATGGCCAGTCTGATACAAGGGCTTGACTATGACGGGTCTTCCACTGGCAACGATTTCAAACGGAGCAGAAACGTCTCTGAGCAGCCGTAATTACTTCTTGCACTTCTTGCAACGGATCGACTTGTGGTGTGGTTTACATGAATATAGAGATGCTTGGGGCTCGGGTGCAACGCAAGCAGTTCTTCACCAGGAGGAGAGTGACAGAGAAGACTGCCTGGTCACCCTCTTTAACAGCAGCTTGGCAGTGAAAACCACATCGCAAAATTCAACTAGTTAGTGCCCTCATAAGTACTTGGGGGCTGGAGTTGGGGTTAATACTAGATATAACACGGTATAACCATACTATTCGTTTGCAATTCCTCTAGGAACTCTTCAGCTGCACGTAAACATGCCTTGGATCGCATCTGCTGGATCATCTGAGGGATTGCCGACCTGCACAATGAGAAAGTGTTCTCAGTGCGCTTTGCAGACGGCGAGCAGGTGATGTGTCCAGTGAATGGGTCATGATGATGGCTGCAATATGCTGCCATGGTGAAATTGCATGAAATTGCAGGGTACCCCCCAGAAACCCTTGGCAGTTTAGTTAACTACGAAACACGCCCGATGATCAAACATTGGGGCATTAACATGTATCAACCATCAGGTGAACCGCTTGAGGAAGCGCCTCGGTACCTTAGTCTTCTTCCCATGGATTCAGCTGGAGCAGGCGTGGAGAATTCGTGCACATGGCCATTTTTGCGGGGGAAAGAATGCACATCTACTGTATAAGTGACTAGTGACTAGTGGTGGATTTTCCTATCATTTTCGTGCACCGAACCCAAATGATTCAATGTTTCAGTATCTATCCATTTTTCAAAAACGAAACAGTCAAAGAAGTTGAAACATTGTTGACACAGAACAATCTCGAAGTGCCATCCAAATCATCCTTTACTTGGCTCCTCCATTGATTCCCCGCGTTCTGGTCCTTTGCATCGAGTTCCGAAGAAGTCGGCGCAGGCAAACTTTGCGCTGCAGCTGCACAACTTTGATGAGCGAACAGCCCTGTGTTTGATCATCCACTTGGCCAAGAAGGACCCAATGGCTGACGAAAAAGATCCCGCAGAAATGGGCATCATGATTTTTTCTGGCCAGCTAAAGATTTTGGACTATTTTTTAGAACCAAGCATCATCCCATGTAAGAATCACCTAGTTTGTCATCGTCCCCTGCGTTTTGAAGGGATTTCCAGCCATGGGTTTCCCAGCGCCGGAGGAGCGGCTGACCAACATCCAAAGGCCCCGATGGATCAAAGGCGATGGAACGGAGGATCCGTAGGGAGCTGAATGGGGCGGAGGTGGAATGTGGTTGGGGTTGTTTGGAAATTTGGAACACCACCATTGGACATCATTGGACCATGATATTTGGCACAGTTTTTTTCAAGATTTCTCATCATTGTCACCACGAAATTTACGAAATCTGCTACATATTGTAGCCAGAAGAAAGGGGACGCATTTCTTGGATCCCGATAGGGATGGGGCAGTTTAACCCTGACAAAGCCCTGGCCATCAAAATAGCTAGAGTAAATTCATGTTCCTCAAAAACACAGCTGGGTTTTGAATGGTACTCGTCCCCAGATGCCGAGGCTTACCTTTGGATTGCCTCGCAGTGACAAGCTCAGACGACTGGCAGACCTCCAGTAGGAGCTCATGTGGGACACTCACTGGAGGTTGGGAGACTTTCTCCAATATTCCCACAGAGGGGACCGTCTACATCAGCTATAAATGTGCACCCGAAGATCGGAACTTCAAGGCGGGATTGAGTGGAAAAGAAGCGGCTTGGCACCGGAAAATCATGGAAACACACCGAAATTATGTATATATGTATCCCCAACAATTGTTGGAGTTTTCATCATTTTCCCCATTGAAATGGCCGGAACAGGCCGGACAAATCAAAATGTGTTGACCATATTTTTCCAACTGTGTCACATTGCTACCTTCCACAGCCGCCTTGGAAAAATCAGAAAGATCTACTGGACTTTGACTTCAGGTGTCCCATGCTTCAGTCATGGACTGATCCAAGTTCCGGACAGGTCAGGAAAAGCCACTTGGAGACCTACAGCAATTGGGTTTGTGATGTGACAGAGAATGAGGTGGGTACAGCAATTGGTTTCTCTCAGATTTTCTGAGTTTCCATGGGGGCACATGAGTACCGGCAACTCTTCCTTGGAGCTCATTTTTGCAACGTGTCTATCTTTAACGCAAAATTACACATTAGTATATACTAGTATAAACTATGAGTCCAAGTGCCATTTCAAGTCATTGCCTTCCTGCTCATGGCATCTGCCAGTGTGGTATTTGTTGACAAGATTCTCTTTGCAGATCAACATCCAGATGAGTGCTGCAACGATATCGTTACAATCGCAAAACTTAAAGAACCTTTCCAATTTACAGATTTTACAGTTCAAAGTAGGTATAGTGCCACGTGCAGAGCCATGATTGCTTGATCTCAGGACCATAATCGGATACCAAAAACAATATGGCAGATTTTGGTGTCGGAGCTGGAGGTGCTGTGGTGGGCCTCCACCAACGAAGTGCCAGTGGACGTGATGGAGTTCTTGGAGCTGTGGACCCGGGCAAATAGCCGCATCGATGACGAATCATGGCACGTTGAAGTCCTGTTGAAAACCACGGACTGAGGTTTCTGATAGAGGACTATGATGACGTCTATGAGGTGCCTGACTTAAAAAAAATGAACGGGCAGAAACGGCGAGACTTCAGGCTGTGATTATCGGGTTGCTTGGCTTGGCCAATCATTCCATCAGGCCTTTGATGATATTAAGCGACCGTGCGACACTGAGTCTGACTGGGTGATCTAGGTAGGGACTTCAAAGCCTCAGGATCCTCAGGAGAGGTCAAGTACTTATTTGATCTTACTTCTACATGTTGCAGGGGATGTTGAGTCTATCTTGATGGGTGGACGTGCTAACACAAGGTCAAGTGGATCAGAAGTTGCCTGTTGTCAACTCGCGGAAGCAGCAAGAGTGGCTCAAGCAAAGATGATCACTCCAGGCAGGGTGAGACTTGGACGGCCAGGAAAGGATGAAAGCCACGTTTCCAACGTTTCACTTCCAGATCCTGATCCTCCTGATCTTCCTGTGCCGGACGATCTTGGTTTGCGTCCTGACGCGCATGGCCGAATAGATGAGACGCCTGCTCTGGTCAGCGGGATGAGCAGCTCCAGTGACTCTGGTGACAGTGCAGAGTCACAGACAGATATAGATCAGACAGAACTTCAGAGGCAGGCATTGCATTCGAAGGTTGCAGAGAAGCTTTCAAAGATGGATGTCATCAATCCTGAGGTTTTGAGGGTAACACCTGCATATCGGGCTTTTGAGCGGTGCGCTCAAGCCCTTGCGAGTTGGAGAAGACGGTGACCTGTACTTCAAGAGTGAGAGAAGTGAGAAGATCTCCACCTTTTGGAGCCATTCTTGGCATGGGGGTCACCGGAGGAAGATCATGACTTTGATTAGTTTTTACAGCGGGGCCGCAGCTGTGATCTTGGGCAGCCTGGTGGCTGTTCTGATGATGTTTCTCTTTGGCTTTGCCGATCTCCCTGCCTGGTACCGGATCGAATCCAACGGCGTTGGCCACGCGCGTTGGTCACTGTGCTTTGGCTTTCTGGCCACTTCTGTGGCGATGCTGTTCTGGCGGCCTCAAGATCGGGTGTTCTTGGACAGGATTTGTATTCATGAAAAAGACTTGACACTGAAAACTCAAGCCATCTTAAGCTTGGCTGGGCTGCTGAAAAAGTCCGATTTGATGCTCATTCTTTGGGATCCAACCTGGACAGAGCGGATGTGGTGCTTGTTTGAACTTGCAGCCTTCTTAAAAAGCAGAAAGGCTCGATGACGGAACAGGAATTGATCATCAGACCAGTCCTTCTCGGGCCTGTTTCCATTGCAATGTTCATCACTTCTTCTGCGGTGATGCTTCCGCTGACCTTTTTTGGGGATCTCCCAGTGACGGAGTCATGGCCTATGCCCCTCTTGTTTCTGTGATTTTCTTGTGCGGCCTGGTCACTGCCTACATATTTGTAGGCACCTTGAGAAGGTACTTCCGAGATCTGGAGATTATGAAGCAACAGTTGAAGGTGATCTCTTTCGATCTCGCCACTTGTTTGCGAGCAGGACCATGTGAATGAATCAGGGAATGCTTTTCTTTGTGACCGGCTGTTGGTGAAGAAATGTGTAAATGTGTGGTTTGGTAGCCAAGAAGCTTTCGAGGAAACTGTACGTTCAGAGGTTCTGGACATCGTGAGCAGGGATCTGACTCACGGAGTTTTCACCAGCAAGTCGTGGGTTCTTGGAGTCACGGTTCCAATCCTATGGAGCTTCATGGACATGGCGGCCTCCAAAACCATCGTTTCTGCACGAAATTTATGGCATTATCGAGCCTTGAATTATTTCTTGAATGGCTTGGCCATTTGGCTGACTCTCCCTGCAATCATAGACTTGATAGTCACTGTTTGCAATATTACTCGTGGCGTGCTCCGTCATTGCTTGGACATGAAGAATTTTGTGGTCGCACATGGTCGCACTATTTGCGTCTTTCCAGTTGGAATCATGGGATCCTGTCAGCAGACTTGCTGATCTTTTCACTCGTCTGTCGCTGCCTCACTTTCGGCATCAAGACCTGGTTGAAACCCGGTTGAAATCCGATTGAAATCCGGTTGAACACATGATCAAATTCCATGGTCATGGTCGGAATGGATCAATTCGAGGTAACGCTGCAGGAACTGACGCCATTTGGATCGTGTCAGACTGATGGGAGTCAATGACTGTTGCAGGAAAAATAGCAACAAAAAGGTGAACATGTTGCTTCGTTGCATCAGTTGCAGCCTTTCTGGCTGGTATTTTGCTTTTTCTTTGCACCTCTGCCTCTTAAGTATGAGCCATGCAACATTTCATTTAAAGCCTGCAGCCTGAAGTGAAAATGCAGGACGTGGATTATCAAACACAACCACTACATAATTATATAATTAAATTATATGCATACAATATACAATATACAATATACAACATACACTATACACTATACAACTACATCTACGTACATATATATATATATAATATAGACGACATACAATATACATATTATATATAGACACACAATACACATGATAATATAAATGAATAACAACAAAATCATACAGTAATATCAATACAGGATTATATACATCGGCATGTACATTGTCATAAATTTATGTACTGGTCATATTATTCCATGAATTCTGGCGCCAAAGAATCCGAGGACCAGCACGGTCCTCACACTTCGAGACTTTGAACAGGGCTTGAGGTGATCTTTTCAGGGCGACCATGGCTTTTGGTACCTGAACAACATGGGAAAAACATGGGAAAAACATGGGGAAAACCTGGGAAAACATGGGAAACCACATTGGAAAAAAAACATATGAAAAAACATGGGGAAAATGGGAAAACTGGGAAACATCAGAACATTATCAATAAACCATGGTTTATCACGGTTTATTTTTGTATATCATCGTTTCCCCTATGAACATTTTGTCAGAAATGGGCGTATACGTTAAATATTTTGGCAGATTAAACACCATATCAGCAATCTTAGTTTCTTCACTAGACCGTATTGATTTTTTTTTCCATGTTGATCTTGCATTTGATATTGGAGGATTGAACATATATTTGGATATTGGGGGGATACCATGGTTCATCCGAAGACTAGCCCTTTTGGTGGTTTTTCTCTGAATTGTACCATCGCAAACATCGAGGTACGGCATACCGAATCCACCGATTTGGGGTCTCTTTTTTTTTCGGGTGATTGGGACCTGCAAATCCAAAATTGGAGATCATTTTTGATCATCCTCCTTGATCCATAGAGATCATATTAGTATAGACTTATGAAAGAAATAACACCATGGTTTTTAGTATGACATAGTATGACATATGTCTCCATGAACATTGGAGATCATTTTTGAAATAACACCATGCTTTTTGGGGTCCCATTTTGAGAAAGCTGCGGTTCTCCAATTTTGGGATCCGCCAGGCGACTGAAGTGCACCAAGTTCAAGGGTCGACGAGAGATGGAACAGATCATGGGCCTGGACCTCAGTTCAGCCCTTGAACATACCCTGGGTGAGTTATGCTACCAATTTTTTTGAGGATTATGATAACCCATAGTAAATAGTAGGGAAACCTATCAACTAGTATAATGAGATGGGATAAACAGGTATTTTTAATGGCTCAGTTTAAGAGTTTTAATGTGGGTTTGGTGCCCGAAAATGACCGGGGGGAAGCACACAGGCAATCCAACGGATTATGCCCATTTTCCTGAAATTGACACATGGCCATAACTGGGGGTATCCACCATTTTCAGACAAATCCATATGATGTTTCACAATGGTATACAGTTGTCGAACTTGGTAGTTGAAACGCATGATGACTCAGCAGTTCAGAACTTGATCTATGAGGGGAAGCTGAGAGCCTCCAGCGATAATTCAGCTGGGCCGCACACCATGCTGCTAGAGCAACCAAACTTCCCTCACAAGGCTCTCAAGGTCAATGCTTGCAGCAAATCATTTCTGTGAAGCACCCCTAAATGCTCGCTGTACTAAGGTGTCTTTCGCATCTTGCCTGAATCATGGGTTTTCTTCCTCGTGCCATGAACGTTTTTCGTCACTCTTCAAGGACTTTATTCCACCTTTGGTGACTAAGGCTACTTGGACCCCAGCGGTGAGGGCCAAGTCTCTCGCAATGAGTGGGGTAGCTGGGCTGAATCAGCCGTCATGGTTTTTCGAAGATATCCCATCTGAATGGCGAGAATCTTCATTTGGGTATGGCCCAAAATGATCAGCCCCAAAATAGATGTCCATGTTTGGAGATGCTGGAAGTATGTGGAAGTACCGAGCCTCAGAAACTGGTGCAGTTGGTGTTACACCCTCTGGCCACCAGCCCAGTGAACGAGACGGGTTGGATGGACATTCTCAACTTTGGGATCTTTGGGCATTGGTCAATGCGCCCTGCTGCCGGGAAACCACCAGACATTTCACGGCGCTTTTTGATTTCTTAGAATTGACCATACCGAATTGAACAGCTTTTAGAGTAAGACAGTTAAATCCATTGTCCTTGTGCTTTGGTGCCCATGCTTGACATGACTCACTGGTTATGCCTTTAGCTAATTGATGCTAATTGTATGCAACAGGGCAGCCGTGCAGGGTGCAAATAGCAAGCCTCCGAGAAAGAGACGTGTGATACGACACTCATGTATTTCAACATATTTCAACAAAACCAAACACGTCTGTGCGTTCTGTAAATAGATGCAGCGAGACTTTTGATCTGATTAGTGGCTCCATCGTCTCTAAGGCATGCTGGAGCTGTGCCACAAAGAGATGGTATACTCAATCAAGGACACAACGGGAGGCAGGCGAAGCGTGAATCGTTGTGATGGAATCCCTGCTGAATTCTGTGTTTGGATGACAATTTGTGATTCCTCGTGATGCATAAAGATACGCCCTGGGTCTTGGTTTTTCTGATGTGTTGCAAAAGTAGGCATACCTTTGCACTTCTCTTAAAATAAGGATTCAGTGACCTGCCAAACCTTTTGTTCTCGAGGAGTTTGTCCACTTCTGCCAGCGTTCGTTTGGAAATGACTTGAACGTGTTGTCCTCAAAAATGAAGTGTCTTGTGGTGGTGCAAAAGATTTCAAACATGCTGGCGGTTGCAGCAATGATCACTTCACATCTCAGCCGTAGCTGCCATAGCTGAGCCACCAGGCTGCTTGGGCGGTCTTTGACCTCAATGGGGACAACTTCATCTCTGTGGTAGCCTCAAAGCGGCGGTGGCCATCTGAAGTAATCGAAGTACTGTAATCTGTAGATCATTGAGATCCAATTTACCAATATCCTTTGACAAAACCAAAGAGATTTGTGAGAGAAGCTGCCTTTTTGCCGTATTTTGCCATCATACTCAGACTTTAGCCACAGGACTTGGGGGATCAAGACGATCAGGCTCAAGCTGCGTGACTCGCCAAGGAACAAGAATGGACAAGTGTTGCACGGTCGTCCTCCTATTTTGGTCCCACTCTGCCCATCTTCCGCTTCTTGGATAAAGACGATGAGGGTACCATCTCCTTTGAGGAGTTCGAGGAGCGGCTTGGAGTAGTCTACTTTTTTTCCTGTCGGGATGAACAAATCATATGTGAGTACCCGACAAAATTAGCGGAAGACTAAAGTACTAGGGAGTGGACTTCGGATGTTCAAATTTGTGTGAAAACCTTCACAACCGATAGGGGACCACCCACTTTGGCCATGTCCATTGCGAGTAGTAAGTATTTTGTTCGCCGCTCATATACAAATTATAATAAATCCACAGATTCTCATCCTGTTGCTGCCGCTGTTGCCATCTTTATCCTTGTTCTTGATAAGACTGCACAATGTCCAGGAGCTACAGAAGTTTCACGAGCCACCAAAACCAGATTTGCAGGCATCGAGGGCGTCAGACAGCGAGGGCAGCATTCAAATTCGCTGGAAGTCTCGGGAAAGAGAATTTACAGAAGCGCCTGTTGACACTGATCCTCTTGATCTAAAGCACACAGCACAATTATGCAAGATGTCATTACCAGAACGAGACAAAATTTCCGAACCCATTGGTTAGGGTTGGCTGGTCACAAGTTGGATCGTTGGTGACATCCAAGATCAATAAGATCACCTGAAATGCCAAGGTTGCCCATCCTGCACTCACGTTGCTTTCGGCTGGAAGAGAAATTGCCACTTCCATTTTTTTCTTTCCTTACCCGCGGGATTGTAGCAGCAATGGAAAGAAGGCGTCGTTCCATCACACTGTGCGGTCTCTTGCAGCTTTGATGAGAGCCTTTAGATAGCAGTTTCTGTAGTTCCTTTTTTGCTTTTCATGATATTCCCATTTGATCTCCATCAATTGGGTATGGGCCAAAATTGGGTACCCCAATAACTAGATGGTGAGTACTAAACAAAGACTAAAATCATCTAAAATCTGTGGTTTTACTGGGCTTCAATATTGAGCCATACCTAATTGCTGGTATCATCACATGGCCATGACGACCGAGGTCCTTTCCTCTCTTCTGGCCTCAGTGCTTTCTGATCGATAGCTTGGCCACCAGCCAGTGCAAAGTACTGCAGGAGAGGGAAAGTGGCTCCACAGTGTGCTTAGTTGGCTGCATCCTGGCATCCAAACATTGGGCTACACCGAAGATCACCAAATTATGGAAAATCTATGGCCATTTGTAGGTAGGAATCCATTATATGATAGAAACTTATGCCATTTTAGTGGGAAAAGCTGCAAAACTATGGCCTTTTTGCTGACGAACCAAACATGTTTGTCACTGGTTTGGATTGCTCCTTCGAATGGCCCCTGGGACTTGAGAGTTTGGGGTGTTACGGACAAAAGGACATTGGACGTGAGACAAGAAAAGTGTTGTTCCTGGAAGCAGTTGTCAAATAAGGATGATCAGGACATTACTTTTCTGGATTTGGTGAACCATGTTTGGTTACAAGTGTGCGGTCCCTACCGCTTCTAGTGAAATATATATAAATTTTGTATCCACACCCTTGATTGCTTTGACTAGGATCAGAAAACTATGCCAGGAGCCAAGCGATGAGTAGGTAGGAGTTCTTGACGTGCAAATCTGAGGCATGCACTTCAATCCTTTCTCCACTTTCTCAGTTTTGGTCTCTTGATGCGTTGTTTGTTTTTGGGCTCCCCCCCCTTCGCCCCTTATAGACTCCTAACGCGGCAACTTTGCGGGTCGGGTCGTGTATGTCGCCCGGAGTTCAGTATCATCCGGTTAAAGAATAATAGTATATATTTAAAACCGGATGAATCCTTTGTTTGCATTGGGGGAAGAGTTTCGATTTCATGACTCCAGCAGATTCCGTAAGAAGGCTGGAGATGCAAAACTTCCGTTTTACCACAGTTTTGTGCCAGTTTTGATGTCTTTAGCTGCGGAGTCTTGCCGGAGTCGGGCGGAGTCGGTACACCTGCTGAAACCCCATTTACAATGTGGAAAGAGCTGAAAGAGTTCCAACTTTGCGACTCCAGACGACTCCGCAAGAAACCGCAAGAAGTGCAAGATGATGTCACTGAACTGTTCGATTTGTTTCATGCCCATTTTTGGAGTTGGAAAGGTATATAGAATTTGGACTCCCAAAGGCGGTCCTCCCCAGTTCAGCACGTGGATGTTTGTGTCATCCTTCCTGCCTTTTGTGGTTTCATGTTTTCTGGCGAACTTTTGAAGCAGCTGGGTGCGTTCCGAGCGTCATGTCGCAACCCCAAAAACAGGATTGCCACACGCTCCAACGCGTGGATTTTGCGCGCCCGTTTTTGGTCTCGCCTGCTATTAAAATAGAAATTGAAAACAGCCTCGAAATGGCCCTGTCCAAAGCGAAAAGCGGTAGCACGTGACAATCCCATTTTTGGCAGTGTGGAACCTTGCGACCTGCTCGAAACACGAAGCTCTTACATTACGCATATAAATTAAAAAATGAAAGTTGGGTTTTGTTCAAGCAGCAAGCTTCAACGCAACAGTTCAGCACGTGGTTGTTTGTGTCATCCTTCCTGCCTTCTGTGGGTTCATGTTTTCTGGCGAACTTTTGAAGCAGCTGTGTGCGTTCCGAGCGTCATGTCGCAACCCCAAAAACAGGATTGCCACACGCTCCAACGCGTGGATTTTGCGCGCCCGTTTTTGGTCTCGCCTGCTATTAAAATAGAAATTGAAAACAGCCTCGAAATGGCCCTGTCCAAAGCGAAAAGCGGTAGCGCGTGGCAATCACATTTTTGGCAGTGTGGAACCTTGCGACCTGCTCGAAACACGAAGCTCTTACATTACGCAAATAAATTAAATAAATGAAAGTTGGGTTTTGTTCAAGCAGCAAGCTTCAACGCAACAGTTCAGCACGTGGATGTTTGTGTCATCCTTCCTGCCTTTTGTGGTTTCATGTTTTCTGGCGAACTTTTGAAGCAGCTGGGTGCGTTCCGAGCGTCATGTCGCAACCCCAAAAACAGGATTGCCACACGCTCCAACGCGTGGATTTTGCGCGCCCGTTTTTGGTCTCGCCTGCTATTAAAATAGAAATTGAAAACAGCCTCGAAATGGCCCTGTCCAAAGCGAAAAGCGGTAGCGCGTGGCAATCCCATTTTTGGCAGTGTGGAACCTTGCGACCTGCTCGAAACACGAAGCTCTTACATTACGCAAATAAATTAAAAAAATGAAAGTTGGGTTTTGTTCAAGCAGCAAGCTTCAACGCAACTGGGGAGGACCACTTTTTGGAGTCCAAAAAGCCAATGGGTTTACGGCCTCGAAAATGAGATTGCTGCAGTGACCTTTTTCGCGAAAAATGGCGCAGCTTTACCAAAAAGCAATACTTTTGCAAGTGTAACGGAATGGCAGGATTCCGGGGAACACGGTTGCTGATTGAAGGTCTCTAGCCCCGCCTGCATGTCGCCAGTCTTTGCCAAAGCACCATGTTGTTTGGAATTGTTTGGGTGTTGTTGTCGCAGGCTTTCGCAACATGGCGTGGGTGAGGTGCTGATTCCGCTGCGACAATGCTGGCGGGATGCTTTTTCTGTGTTTGCGTTTGCACTGCTCAGTTTTGTTTTGGTCTCTTGATGCGTTGTTTGTTTTTGGGCTCCCCCCCTTCGCCCCTTATAGACTCCTAACGCGGCAACTTTGCGGGTCGGGTTGTGTATGTCGCCCGGAGTTCAGTATCATCCGGTTAAAGAATAATAGTATATATTTTAAACCGGATGAATCCTTTGTTTGCATTGGGGGAAGAGTTTCGATTTCATGACTCCAGCAGATTCCGTAAGAAGGCTGGAGATGCAAAACTTCCGTTTTACCACAGTTTTGTGCCAGTTTTGATGTCTTTAGCTGCGGAGTCTTGCCGGAGTCGGGCGGAGTCGGTACACCTGCTGAAACCCCAGTTACAATGTGGAAAGGGTTGAAAGAGTTCCAACTTTGCGACTCCAGACGACTCCGCAAGAAACCGCAAGAAGTGCAAGATGATGTCACTGAACTGTTCGATTTGTTTCATGCCCATTTTTGGGGTTGGAAAGGTATATAGAATTTGGACTCCCAAAGGCGGTCCTCCCCAGTAGTTGGTAGGGCGTCGTTCTTGACGACGCGGACAGACTACCGGTGGTGGTTCGATTCCCCGCTGGTCCGCAGGAAAGCCTCAAGTGGTGACCAGTCGAAAGACAATGGCGCCGGCCACAAAAAAATGGGGTTCTTGAGGCAGGCATGCCAATTCACTCGGTTGCGCTGTACTCATATGGAGGCGGCATTCGAGCAATGAAGGTACTGGATTGTGCTGAGCAAAACAGCAACGGGCGCCATGGCTTGATGTACTTTTACATCGTCCTACGCTATCAGTAACACGATACAAGTAGAGGCCCATTGAAAAGGTTGCAATTATCCCCCTCTCCCTTCCTCTACAAAGGCTAGCTTACCCCACAATCAGTTATCTAGATACAAATCCTATTTTTTTCCGTCCAACGCCTCCGAGGCTTCGCCAGGTCGTTACACAAGCTTTTACTTGCCGGAAATTGAATTGATATGCATGCAAAGCCATCGGTAAAAGAAGGCTACAAAAGAGAGCCCATAAAGCTATCCAATTGCCGAGAACGAGCACAAAACAACAAGAAAGCAAAAAAACAAAAACCACAAAAAGCAAAACAGCACAAAAAACAGGGAAAATGGACAGCTATGTGCTCTTGAGATGAATTCCGATAGCAGCTTGACCATCTTAAAAGCAAACACAAACACAACAGAACAAAACCACAAAAAATGGCCATCGGAGGGTGCGGAAGCAACAAGACACATTGCGGAAACCCAGGATCCCCCCAGCCAGGATCCCGGAGATCACAACGTGCAGCCGTAGAGGCATGACTCAGCACCTATGCACATCGACCGTGTCGATCCTGCAACGCGAGTGAAAAAAATGAGATGTGAAACATGGAGTGAAAGAGATCTAAGGTGAAAATTAAGCAAAAAGCTACGACACTCAGAGCCCACTCAGAGTCCACTACAAATGTAGTGGCCTATTAAAAGTGTTACAATTGCTCTCCTCCCCCTTCCTCCCTTACCGTAGTTACAAAGCCAAGCTTACCACCTCATCAGCTCCACAAGGAAGTAGTCAAGCATGGGTGACAGCACCTATCTACACCTATCACATAATGGTTCCCTGTCGTGTGGCAACCGTAGGTACCCCATTACCCGTGTGAGACTGCTGGAACTGCACGGGCTGACTGACACTGGGGTGTTCGTGGCTGCCGGTGCTACCTGCTGTGCTACTTGAGGGGGGTGGGTCACCACTTCCTGCTGGTTCAATCATTTGCGCGACAAGTAGATGGCTTTGCTTTGCAATCAGGATCCTTGTCATTTCGCGAGTGAAAGCTGCAGGGTCGTCCACTAGTGCCTTCGCTTCCGCCAGTGGCCTGTCAAGGACAATGGCAATGAGCATTTCGCCGCCGTCTTTCTGGATCAGGGCTGGTCGGCCGGCTTGCATCTGCGCAAGGATCGCCACCGCCTTGTTTTCACACAGGGTGCGTTCCCATTCCTCGAGAGCTCTTTGCGCTAGAGTGCCAGTTTGTGGTGGGGCTTTTTGAGCTGCCGGTGCCCAATGCACGGATGAAGGGACTGTCAGGCAGCGTGGAAGACGGCAGGTTTGTGATAGCAGCTACTGCACGTAAAATGTCACCTTCTTTGATGTCATAAGGGGAAGCTGCCCAATGGCTGGCTCGGAATCAGCCCATAGTTGCCGCAGCGTGTATCCTCTCTTTGGTTCCTTTTGCCTTCTGTTCCACACTGCGTTGTGAGACCATTGGGGTGCGTCATGGTTTATTTCAATTGCATTTTGCTCGATGATTGTGTCTAGCATAAGTGCTGGGAATTCCGGTTGGTCGGTTTGGTGGAGGCGTGGTCTCTTTGGGTACTGCGATGTCTTCAAACCAAGGTGGGGCGGACCGACTGGAACCAGGAGAGACGGACAGACTGGACACCTATTGCACTGGCGGAACTCGCGTTCTTGATGCTTTCCCTGCGCAGGCTGTGGTAGACAGGAGGGATCATCCATGCGGACACAAAAACAGTGATAAACTGGACGTTCCAGATGACCTGTAGGTTCTCTCAATTTCTAGGCGATGCATCAAACTTGGCCATCTATGAATCTATGACTCGCGTGTACGATTCAGATCGGTCAAACCATGCTCACTGCTCGGTGGTTTGTTTTGT